AAGTAACAATGAAATGCAAAAGGCAGTAAGAGATAAATAAAAAAAGAAAAGTATAATGAGTAATGAGTCAAGAAAGAAAGAAAGAAAGAAAGAAAGAAGTTAGGAATGAAAGACAAGTAAGAAAGAAAGAAAAAGAAAAGGAAAATGTGTAATGTGAGTAAAGAAAGAAAGAAAGAAAGAAAAAGGAAAAAGATAATGAGTAATGTAAGGAAAGAAAGAAAGAAAGAAAGAATAAGAAATAAATTGGGAATGAAAGACAACAAGTAACAAAGAAATAAAAAAAGATGGTAAGAGCTAAATAAAGAAAAAAGTATAATGAGTAAGGTGATTAATGAGTCAAGAAAGAAAGAATAAGAAATAAATTAGTAATGAAAGAGAAGTAAGAAATAAATAAAAAAGAAAAGGAAAATGAGTAATGTGAGTAAAGAAAGAAAGAAAGAAAGAATAAGAAATAAATTAGGAATGGGAATTAGGAATAGAGGAATTAGCTCTACGTTTCCTCTCTCTCTATTTTCCAGTGACTCTAAAATCAGAGCTGGACACAACGCTAAACTCAGAGGGACTCTGATTATAACCCCAGATTATAATCCCGTGGCGTGAGACACGCTGCGTCTCTCAGTGTTTAATGGGACCTTCATCCACATGGTTTAATGGAAATTTTGAATATGTGCATCAGAAAACCTGGATGGATTTTGTGATCTGGATATCAGTAACACACACAATCACCCACACCCAAACACCCCCCCCCCCCCCCCCCCCCCCCCCCCCCCCCCCCCCCCCCCCCCCCCCCCCCCCCCCCCAAAACACACACACACACACACACACACACACACACACACATATAGGAACAGGCAAACTAGTGTGTTTAAGAACTCACCTTTTCTTGTCTTTGGAGGTCTGGAGTGAGAGAGCCTGCAGTGTTTCAGCCGCCATCTTCCTCCTGTTAAAGGAGTTCATCTCCTCCTCTAGCTCTCTGCGCTTCTCCTCCAAAGTCTTCTTCTCCTCCTGGTGCATACGCTTGACACGCTCGAAACGCTCATGCAGCTGCACAAAGACCCATGAGAACACACTAAATGAACTGCACAGAAATCACAGTTGAGACCTGCTGTACCATTCATAAAGTTACCAGAATGTCCTTTCAGTGTTTAACCAGATGACACATGAACGTAAGCGCCTTTACACCTTTAAACTAAAGTTTAGAGTCTTTAATGCCCATGACCTCTGACCTCACGCTCTCTCTCCTTCAGCTCAGCCTCCGTTTCCTTTACTTTGACGACGAACATCTGGCGCATGTCCTCCTCCATGCGCTGCAGCTCTGCGACAAACTCTCTCCTCTTAGCCACGTACGTTTCCTGCAGACTGAGAGACATGAGAGATGTTCTGATGGATGTTCTAATGGAAAAATCTCACTGACTCAAAGGATGCGAGTCACACTTGAAATACACAAACTGGCTTTGACAAACTGATTTTTTCTCCAATATCTCAAGGAGCTACTCAAGACATCTCCAATGTCTCAAGTATGCCTTGGTTCGAGGGAGTGTGGAGGATGTGGCAACCCGTGAGCAGTACCTGAATGGCTGCATGTCAGCATCGGGGTCTTTGAAGCCCATCTCCTCCAGTTTGCAGCGGCGGTACAGCTCATAGTGACGTGCATGTGTCTGCTCCCTCAGGTCCTCCATGTTCACCCGGATCAGCATCTCCCTCAGCTTCACAAAATCACAGTGGCTCTCATTCTCCACTGCGCTTAAACACACACACACACACACACGCACACACACACACTACTTACAGTCTGTAGGACAAATATGTAGTACCTAGCATTGCCTCCCAATTCACTTTATGGTTATAGAAATCATTCCCACAAGCAATCCAGAGTCCATCCTATTATCCTATTATGATCCAGAGTATATCCTATTAGTGTGTTTTTCGGAAGTGGGAGGAAACCAGATGACCCAGAGGAAACCCACACAGACAGTAATCTGAGCTCAGGGTCGAACCAGGGACCCTGGAATTGTGAGGCGGCAAAGCTGTCTGAACATGTTTAATATTTACTACTTTAAACCAACATGGCCACCACTGGACTAGGAGTAGATCAGCACGATTATGATTAGTATAAACTCTTTACCACAGGACAATGTGAAAAGGTAATTGTTTAAGACCAGCCTAAAAAATCAGGGCTCCTTTTTACATTTGTCAAGAGGAGCAAAACTGACCAGATTACCCTCTAGTGTGCCTCAGGAGTTTTTTTTATGAGAAATTCTGTGATATCTCAGGATCTCCGGTTTGTCAATAATAATACTGTATGCTGTGGTAATTCCCAGCCTACGACCGGTAAAGAAAACACCGAAAACGCCTGCTCAAGTAGAAATTTCACTCAAATTCGTCAACTTTGGGCTGTCTTCTAAACCACCAGTTCCTTCCCCTGTTTACAGAGTGACATCAAATCAACATGGCCGCTCAGTGTGAAGTCCTGCTTCTCTACTTTTAAATGAGTTTATAGCAGTAATGGCTTTAGAGCAGTTAATATACAGACACAGTACTTGGTTATATCTATAACACTGACCATACTAATCACTGTTTTGAGAAGATAATTACCAACATTAGTTATCACTAACTTTACCCGGTTAGCTTGTTGCTAAGTCATTCGCTGTTGATCGTTGTTGTTCCTGTGCTGCAATTTCAGTCCACAATGTTGCATGAATGTTTGAAGTTCATCTTAGCAGAACAGAACAGAACCAATAGCCACTCATTGCTATAACTGTGAAAGTGCAGTTAGAGTAGCTTTTATGAGCTTTACCTGTTCTGACAGAGCAAATAAAAGACACGCTTTCATGGAGGCATCCATTTTTTTTTCTACTTGTGGGAAAATGATGTTATTACACCTTGCAAATTACCACTTACAAGGCACCATGAACACAGCATTAATCTGAAAATGTGAGGTGATTTATTCTGAGTCGATCTCAATCTCAGAGTGCATCCCATGACTTGCTAGACTGTGCAAATAATGTGAAGGTGGTGTGTAGGTGTAGCTAATAAACCAACAACTACCACTATACTGTATATGGCACCTACGCATTTCTCCCATGTGGCAGGCCGTATAGGTACTCACCCTGTACCACTCCCCATGGGTACTGCCTGGCTCTCACCAGCTTGTTTCCCACTTTAACCTCCTCTCCACTTCCCACCACAGCAAACGGCAGATGAGCCTGAAACAGAAAATCAGACATGCAGACATAACGACGTTACAAATACGATAACTGTTAACAAACAGCCTACATTTTGAGTTTGAGTTTCACTCACGTTCATGGAGGAGTTGATTTCTGCAACAGCTTCGTCGTCTGTGGGGAACTGGTAAATCTGAACGCCGTTGCTCACGAGCTCACTCATGATCTTAATCTTGAATTTATGAAGCTCAGATTTGGAGATTGTGTCTGCTTTAGCGATAATGGGAATGATGTTTACCTATCAAGGATTAAAAAAAAAAAGCCTTTGGAATTAAACTGATCCATTGATCTGACAGATATACTGTACATATACATACTATATAGTATTTACGGTAATATGAAGTTCATAGAGTTGGATAATAATTTTGGAAAAAAAATGAAAGGCGATAAATCTGACCTTACTGTCCAACATTTTCATGGTGACCAGATCGAGGGATCTGAGCGAGTGGCCTGTAGGGGAGATGAAGTACAGGCAGGCGTGGATCCTTGTGTCGTGGTAGTTAAAGAGTGAACGTTTAATCTTCAGCTCCTCTTGGAGGAAATTCTCAAACTGGGCATCGATGTAGTCCGTAATGGGTTTATAGCTACAGAAAAAATACATTTACATAAGTTGCTTGTAAAATTATTATGTATGTGTCATTTTACTTAACATTCCTGAGCTCAAATTGAAAACTGCAGATTTATCTAAAATTATCCCCTAAAGAATTATAATCCATTGCTTTAACAATTATAATCCATTTTTATAATCCATTGTCTAAAGAAAGACTTCACGGGAAAATCTAATATTAAATGAACTTTACGTCTAATTCACATGTAGTCAATCAGCGAACACGTCTGCAATCTAATTTTTGCATTTTGAATTTTGCTAACATAGTTCTGTAAAGAATGAAACATGACCGGGCATGCTGTTATAGGAAAACAATCAACAAATGGGTAATGATGACATTATTACCGCGAAGTTTATTAGTTAATTAAGTTGATAAGTAACACAGACTGAAGTCTTTTATTCCACTTATACCAGAGCAATTTGCCAACAATTGATATATATTTATTTATTAAAGAATGACATGACTATTTATCCGTTTATAATTCCATTTAATGTTGTAGAGTGGCAAACAAGACAAGTTAGTTCCTGTTATCACTTACATTATAGAAGCTAGAAACAGTCGTTCATTCAGCATGGAATTATTACGAAAGAAAAAAATGAAGCTTGTCACGTTACAGAGAAACCAGAAAGTGCTCCATATTCTCTTAAAGCTTTACATTTGACTTTTCCAAAAATGTTAAATAATTCTGTGTTTCCTCACAGAAGACCTCACCATATCAACAATTACAGACATTTTGAAATCTGCATATGTGGAGCGTCCACCACGCTGTAATAAATTGCTGTAAATTTTACTGTAATTTACTGGCAATTTGGGTTGCCAGTACAGTACTGTAAACTTTACAGTAAACAACTGTAAAATATATTTACAGTAAAGTACGGTAATATCTTCATGTTGTATAAAATGATACATAACCCAGCACACTTGCTCATTTGGCTGATGTAGGATACAACTGAGTTGAAGGTTATGGGTCTTGCCCAGTCATGACAGCTTGGCAGTACTGGGATTTGAACACCAAAGCTTCTGAGCTGTGACTCAAAGCCTTAACCACTGAGCCACCACAACTATACCACAACACCACCGCAACTAGCTTGCATTGATTCAACTACTTCTAGTGCCGCATTAACACCACTAAAAGATTGCAATGAATCAGTGAAAGCTAGTTGTGCTAGCTGTAGCAGCTCAGTGGTTATGGCTTCAAGTTGCAAATAAAAAGGTCATGTGTTCAAATCACAACAACACCAAACTGCCTTGATTGGATCCTTGAGCAAGATCCTTCAGCTCTACTGCATCAACACACTGGGTTAAGTATTATTTTATACTATGTATGATATTACAGTACTTTACTGTAAATATGCTTTACAGTTGCTTACTGTAAATTTTACAATACTTTATTGGCAACCTAGGTTGCCAGTAAATTACTGTAAAATCTACAGTAAATTTTTTACAGTGCATGCAAGTCCCTGTGTGTGTTGTTAGTATAGAAACGCTAATGTATTAACACAAGCGCATTATTATAAATTTAATAATATGCAGTTTAAAAAAAAAATTGTGATTTTCCTTCTACTGTCAGAGCCGCTGCTACAGAAAATTAATCAACTCTTCCTGACCAATCAGACTGAAGAATTCAACAACTGTGCTATGACGTGTTAGCTTAAGACTATCATACAGCATCCTGCAAATATTGTATATCCCACACCTGCATCAAACCACACTAGATTATTATTCAATCACAAATAGCCACGACTGCATGATTTCTGAAACTTTATGACATTTTGTTATTGCTAAAAACAAACAAATGCCCAATGCATAGCATAACTGTAGTGGCAGCCATTTTGAATCCAGAATCTGTAAATGTTTTACATTTAAAGAACTAGAATTTAAAAGTTTAGCCACAAGTGAAATGTATAAGATTTTCCTCTAACTTAAATGTAGTCACTCAGCTAAGATATGTTTGTTGTCTGATCTTTAGTGCATTAGTTATACACCGGAGCTATGAGGCTAATGTAGCTAACAAGTAATGGAAGCTTAAATGCTACATGTTTTGCCTGAATATTTCTTTAAATACAAGCTTATACCTCAGTCATGAAAAAGAAACATTGCCTAGCATTGTTGTTTGAGGTAAATGTGTCATGAAATTTATTGACATGAAGTTATATTATTTGCTAGCTATGTTAGCCTAGTAGCTCTGCTAATAATAATAATTTTTTTAAAAAATCTAAAGAAGACTTGTCTTGGCTGATGTGAGTGGAAAGTTGTAAATTTGATGCTTTTCTGACAGAAAAAAGGATTGTTTAAGAAGCTACTTGTTTTTTTAGTCAGTATAGAATTAAATAAGTATAATAAATTAGCGTGTATAAATGAGGCTAGCACCCACAGTTTAAACTCATGACTATTAAATGGCAGGTTTTGAGATAATTGGGAAATTTGTGTTACTTTGATTTTTTTTTAGAGATTCCCAGAGTGGACAAACGTCCTATGCTTAGCTTTTATTCAGTGTCTAGAGCGCTAGAATGTGTGCATTCGACAAACCTCTCTTCTTTATTGACCTGATCACCGAACCCCACGGTGTTGACGATCGTCAGCTTGAGGTCCACGTTGCTCTCCTGCAGCTCATACGTCCTGGCTCGTAAATACACACCACTCTGATAGTGACTGGCCTCCTCGTTTTCAAAGATTGTGTTAAATAGAGTGTTCATTAATGTTGATTTTCCAATCCCGGTTTCACCTGAAAAGGAACCAGGCCATATGGTTTCGCTCAAAAGTGGTACCAGTCACTGATTGTGGGACATCTATGAGATTTTATCTCGTAGTTCTCCATTTTGGTTATGTGCTTATTATTTTTCAGAGATGAGCACTTTTGTCTGGTTGTAAGAACAAAATTAAGGTCAAAAGATCAGAATTAAGGGCAAAGGGAAAAGGAGGAGAGTATGTTAGTGTAGCTGAAGGTAGTGGACAGAGAGAGGGACAGAGGGAGAGACTGCGAGCCTCAAATGCTTCCGTAAATCAGATCATGTGTCGAAGTTGAATAAGTTTAATGAATCTGATAAGGAATTATTATACACTTATTTTAAGTGATCTGAAAATCTGTACTCATTTCATTAAAACCCTGTTGAAGTGAAGTTAGGTTAGTTTAGGTTAGTTTAGGTTAGGTTCAACTTTATTGTCATTGTCAGAGTACGAGTACAGAGACAAAGAAATGCAGTTTGTAACGTATATTAGAGTTATTGCTCACCCACGCAGAGGATGTTGAAGCAGAAGCCTTGAGACACTGATTTGCTAACAAGCTGATCCGGGAGGCTGTCGAAACCAACATGGCCGCCGAGAGTCAGAGTCCTCTTTTCCTCAGTCTGAGTGGTGAAAGAAAAGAGTCGAACACTTTACACCAAATTATAACATCCACTAAATCATTACCACTAGCAATGAATGGATGACACACATTTAAAACTGGCATAAGAAAAGCAGCCTTAAAGCAACATGGATTCAGATATTAAAAAAAATATATATATATATTTTTTTTTTTAAATTACCAGTGGTATATTCAAGATATCTACGTATATCAGCAATACGATTACAAATACAATTTAAATACAATTTAATTATGACTAAAAGCTATAAAAACACCTCTTTTCTGCATCACTTTGTTAATGCTAGAAAGTGCTAGCGCTAGAAAAGCGTGTAGGAATGACAGAGTGATGCTTCCACAGTGCTCTTGTTTTTACGTTCGACGTCATGAATATTACATGGTGTATGTACAAACAAACGACAAGCAAACAAATCATAAAAAACAAACAACCAACATACAAATAAATATGTTTATATAAACGAACAAATAAGTAATAAGCCACCAAACAAACAAAGAAACATACAAACAAATAAATATACATAAAAACAAATATTAGAGCACCAAAGAAATGAATACATACATATAAACAAATAAAAAATAATAATAATCAAACAAACAAATCAATGAATATAAACCAACAAATAAACAGTAAACCACCAAACAAACAAACAAATAAATAAATAAATAAATAAATAAATAAAGCACCAAATAGATACACAAAATATTTTGCAAATAAACTGTAAAAACTGTAAAAAAATAAAATAAAATAAAAAATGGTGGTACATTTTTTATTTTTGAAAACTCAGAAATGAAGGAGGGAGAAACATTTTTCTTCATGGATTGTGTATAGTTTAGTGATGAAGGAAGCATTTAGATGTGAAACTGGGCTGAATGGAGACATGAGGCTCATGGCAGAGACGAGACCATCCCCAGAACCAAGCAGCCCGCTGACACATTCAAAGTGCCAGCTTCTGTCCAAACACAAGAAAAGTGTTTCACACAGCAAGCCGTTCCACACACTGGCACACTGCTCTCAAAACACACACACACACACACACACACATACAGGGAAATAAAGGCCTCTTTATAGATCCCTCCCTTCCCGAAACACAGTGCCCCTGCTCTCGCTTTGTGAAAACACTCATCAATCATAGTTCCTCTTTTTGCTAAATGTTATGATGGTTATTGAAAAACACTGCAGGATCTGGCAACCCTGTATCCTATATATATATATATATATATATATATACATGATCAAATACAGCATTATAACATACAGTGAATAATGTATAATGCTAAACATCTTCATGTGATAATGAGAAAAGAATATTGCATTTTTGCAATTTTGCACGAGGAATAAGAAAAAAAATAAAAACTGAGGAAATTCAAGCAACTTGATCTGAAGAAACACACTAACCATCTAAGCAGTTTGTCTCTGTGTATTAATAAACGTTCTCAGGTCTTGCTCACGTGCATCTATCTGCAGAGTGAACCATCATGACAATATATAGCAAATAAACAGACACTTACAGGGTATGTGTCTACGTCCACGGCAGCCATGCTGATCTATCAGTGAAGCTGATGGTCTTCAGATTCATCTGTTCTCTCTCTGACACTTAGTTTTCTCTGAAGCCTAAACAGCTTACAGCTCTACACTTTCAGCAGGGCCCCTTGATGGAAACTCCCCCTTCACATTAAAATGCAGCTGGTGAAGCTGAGATGCCATCCTCCGAGCACGCCAACCTCCTGGCAGTGACTTTCTGCCAGGCTGTTTAACAGACTCTCCAGAATAACTGATAAAGGGTTTTATAGCACAGTGCTGTTGAATTCTCGAATCTGATTGGTCAGAAAGATGGACTAAGACGAAAGGTGCATTTTAGCATTGATAGTATTCTCAGCTTTTTGTTTTCTCAATATGGTTCTTTTGTGATTCACTTGATTTGTGTCTTGTTAAAACAAATTCCACACATAAACTAAAACGAATACTAAACAGATTTCAAAAACGTGTTTTTATTTAACAAAGAAAAACGTATAATTATTGATACGGTGAAGTATTCTGTAAGGAGCTGTTTACTGGTAACATTTAAAGAAGGAGTCTCCATTGTCAGCGCTTTGTAACAGGCATGGGAAAGTCTTCATGTTGGCGCTTTCTGGTTTTTCAGTAACACAACAAGCTGCATTTTTTTTATCTTGTTAACTCCAAGAGAGAAAAAAAACAGAGTGGCCAGTGAGGGAAAGACTGTTTGTAGCTGCTATAACATGATAACAAAAATTAACTTGTCTCATGGATGTTCCACAGCAGAAACTGTGACTATACACTGGCATGTCATTTTTAATTAAAAGAAAATTGTAATTTTTTGACAAATAGCTGTGGAATAAGAGGAATAAAACTGTTCAGAACATGATGCTATAGGAAAATAATCACCTTCATGGTGGTAACAGTAACTCTACTTTACATTGGGCCACATCCCACCAACCCGTAATTGATTATTTTTCTATGAAAGTATGTTTCCAAATTGTTTTTAATAGAGAGTTTTTAAGAGTCATGACCAAGCGATTGCTGGAGTTTGCCTCCTGAACAAAAATAACCATATAAACTTTGTACATGTTTTTCAGGCTTTGATATCTGACTCAAGTTTTTTTAAATAAGTTTTTACTGGTTGAGAGTAGTAAAATGACCCCCCCATTTAAACCATATTAAAGTCAGTTTTTGTCAGTCATACAGTTATGTATATATATACAGACAGGTGACAGATTAAAGGAAAAACAGTAACCCTGTTATGCTGTGGGGGCATTTATTTATTTTCCTGGCAAGGTTTTGTCCCATTAGAGGGAAGTTCTTCTGAATGAACATCTTTATCCTATGATGAATTCCTATGATTTCTTTCCTGATGGGTG